GCAGGTGGAGTTCAATGTGATGGTGAATCCCCTACAGAGCATCAAATACCTGTTGGTCAGTGTATGGACAGTTTAAGAATCTGCAGAACAAACCAAAATTGGGAAGATCCACGGTAAGATCCACTTCAATTCCTTCCTTTCTTTCTTAGTGGTAATTAACATCCGACTTTGTTCAGAGAACTGGCTTTCCAATACAAAGTATTTATGCTGGGGTGGACGGCGGTACAACGATCCCTTGTGATTTTGCAATCAGGTTTACAAAATTATCCTACATTGATAAGAAATCCATATATGAAATGCTGGTGAGAAATACTGTGTAGCAGGGCGCTTATTTTGGGAAGCGCCTCAAGACGCTTTGGAAATCTTGTCCAATCTTTATAAGATTAGCCAGCTGGACACAAACTCATGGGGGCTCATATCTAACAGAGCAGATAACGGGCGTAGAATTATGCCCATAACTAGAAAAAAGAGTTTTTGTTTTTTTTACCAGATCCGCGTGATTTGTCCCTATAGACTTCATATGGGACGCTTGAAATTGTGTTGCATTTGTTATTGCACGTTTTTGGTAACTTTCGTGCATGTTTAGCCCATTTACATGAATTTGCTCATAAAAACGTGTGACTTTATATATGCGCAAAAACACGCTAAAAACAAAAAAGTCAGTGCAGAGCATCGTCACCCCTGTGTGAAAGATCATCGCCCCCGTGTGTGTGTAGGCCTGCACCGCTGCACTACACACACACTGCGACCCATCTCATTCATAAAACCTGGCCAGTGTTGTGCAGCCAGCAAAGCCCCACACATTTCCCTCTGCCACACTGGCCAGACAGCAGGTCACGTGACCAGGCTCTTCTGCCAGCTTTAATTCAGTTCTGTTGCTCTCTCTCTGCCAGCTTCAGAGGCCCGAAGAGACGCAGCTCGTTTGCAAAGCACATGGTTGTGTTTGATAAATGTGAATGTTTTTTAATTTATTATTTATTTTAATTTACTTTATCAAGGCGCCCCCTAGTTTATAACTGTACAAGGACAAGCCCATGACAAGGATGAGGATCACAATAAATACAAAAACTTAAAGCTCTAGAATGCCAGATTGATGTGCAAACTATGTTCATAAAAGAGAGGGGCCAAGCCAGCATAATAATATATAGAAACATATGGGTTGCCAAGGAAATAAAACAAAATTGTAATGAGCAAAAAGAGAGAGAGAGACGAGGAATGTATAGAGTCGGGATCATTAAAAGGAAAACTGTAAGTTTGGATCAAATTTATTTTTTATTTTCTATTTTAGGGTTTTCTGTATTGATTGATATATATTTGCTGTGTATATGAAGTTTTTGGTTTACAAACTACTTTATAGTATAACTAAATGTAAAACGTTTTTTGGTTTGGGTAAAGCATTAAGGGTTTGGAACCACGGTCAGGTTTTATTGGAGGTTTGTATCCTTGTTAGGGAGACTCACTCTCTCTAAATTGTCCTGATCACCAATGTCACCAGGAGTGAGGGTACAGCCAAAATTCTGAGTTGCCACCAGAATAGGAGTACAGGGAAAATCTTACAATGGTGACATGTTTCTGTTACAACTTTCTAAGAGGAGATTTCCCTCCCATTGGAAATATATCCTAATTTCCTATTGAGTCTACAGGACAGGGAAAGAATGAAAATCTCCTTAATAAGACCCCAAAAAACGAAAGGGTTTATGAGTTGCCCCTGCTCAATCTAAAACTGAAAAGAGAAGTAAAGACAAACCTTTTTTTGGGCTTTACTTCTCTTTTGGGTCACAGGAATAAATTTACAGATGTATTCCTATGACCCAAAGTTAGCATTTTGTAGGCTACTGTCTGCTATCTGCTGACAGCACAGAGCCACCCCGCAGTTGGGAAGGATCCTGACAATATTGTCAGGATCCACCCCACTGCCTGATTGACAGCTGACTCTGCCTCTCTAGAGTCCCCCAATATGTGCTGGCGGAATGCAGAGGGGAGGGGAGAAACCTTGTGGGGAGCGGTGAGGAAGCTAAGCAATCAGCGGTCATATGAATTGGGAATACAATATGAAATTCCCAATGTATTGGGTAGATTATATTTTACTCTCCCAATAATTCTTTTAATTTAAGGAAAAGGTTTGGCCTTAAATATCACTTATTACAGTGATTCCCATTTTACAAAGCATTAGGGATTTTTCTAACGAGGGAGCATAGCAGAAGCAGTTTACTTTCAGACTCTCTGTCTCTCTCTAAAGCTCTATATTGCCACGTGTGCAGAGAAGGCAGAGAGAGGGAGAGATGGGGAGGAGTCGCTGCTCTCATTTTTAGTTGTACAGCTTGAGCTCTGTAACAGGGTCTGCCTCCCCCAGTCACCCAATAAATGTCTTTTCATTAGATTTGGAATACTCCACGCTCTTACGATGTCTCCTGAAGGATTGTGATGTCACCTTCTACAGTATTTTCTAACCTTCCTTTAAAGCGTTTCTTACAGCACGAATGGCGTGAAAGGCCTGATGTATTAGGGGACTTCCCATTTTAGCGCTTTAAGGATGTATAGCAGAGTGCAGTGGGTTAATCAAGAATTGTAAAAAAAAAACCTCTGCACCCGCCAAACAGTCACACTATTACAAACAACCGTCCCGTTCTGATCTTTGCTATACGCTGTGGTAGCAAAGTAGAAAAGAATTAAAGCTTGTGCATTCAAAACGCAATGTGATATTTCAGGAAAGCTAAAAGCCGCGTAGCAAAATCGGGAACCCGTACAAGCTGTAGACGGATACACTCAATGCATTAGATGCCATTATAAAATACCACAGGACAAAAAGCTTCTATATTTTGGATCAATGCAACTTACATTTCAGATGGAACCAGTTCCATCCATTAAACCATTCATTTTAACAAAACCACTCCGCTACCTATATAGCCAAAACTTATTTAATAAAGAAATTAACAAATCCCATAATCCTACATGGGCAGCTGAATTTCGGAATCACAAAAAAAAACAAAAAAAAAAAAAAAAAAAAAAAAAAAAAAACACAACAACTTCCAGTATATTTGGTACAGAGCATGAAAAAGTTTGATAAATAATATAAAAAAGTTTCAAAAATAAAAAAATTACAAAAATATTGTAAAATAAAAAACTTCTACTCATTGTCGGAGGTCTGGGGGAGGGAAGAGACTGTTACATCAGCCACACTCAGCATTTATCTCCTCTCCCAGCATGCATCACTGCTACTGTACTACAGTGATTGGCTGGGAGACACAAAGGCACATAACAATCCTCATTGGCTGTTCTGCTCTGTGTGGTGCCACACCCTAAAGAAAACTTTATGCATATATCCCAGAAAGGGCAATACTATGTCCAAATAAATAATTGTAATATTTACAAATATTATTTTTAGTGGCCACCCCCTTTCAAGCCAGAGCTCTTACCAACCAGGGACGCTCTGGACAATGTCCTGCCCAGTTTCTGGCAACCAGTGATGTCAGTGAGCTGGGTGGGAAGCCATACAGCGCACTGACGGCACCTCCAGCAAATCCCCCCTGTGAAAAGTGAAGGGACACCTGCCTGAGGACATTGTTTGACTGGCAAGAACACCTCAGATAAAAAAGGTATGCATTTAGGGGTCTTAAAAAAAAAACACAACTGTGGGAGAGCAGTGCTTTATACTACCTTACCTTATGTTATTTGTACATTTATGGTAGAGATGACTGGTCTTCTAGGCCAATGCCTTTCATGAGTACTTTTTACCAAGAAAGCTTGCAACAAAATAGATTTAGGTACTTATGATAGCTGCATGTACAACTACAATCTTTTTATTTTGTTGGACACATAACTGAATTCATGTTTTATTATCTCTGCCTATATTTCAGCTTTAAAATGATAAAAGCTCACTGGTTTTCAGTTATATTTCCATTACCACACACAGTGACACATAACAATGCAGATTTTGGGTCACCTTATCTGAACTCTTTGTATTGTCTAAATCACGAGAACAGTGATAAGGGTATATAGGAAGTCCAGGCCCTATACCGTTTCCATGTTTTCCTAAGGAGGACAGAACTTCCATTTTACATGGACTTGGCTGGGACCCAGGCGATCGGGGCCGATAAGAGAAGCCATAGGTAACGAGGTCAGGACTTGTAAAAAATCAAAAGCACGTCTTTTCTATTTTTTTATGATTATTTTGGTTGAACTGGAAGAGAAGGTTCAGGTGGAGTGGAAATCCCAAATGAAGAAAATAATAACTGCGAGGATGTTGGTCTGGGTGGGTAGCGCCATCTCCACAGAAACTATCTAAACAATGTTTTATCTTCAGTTAAAGTGCTTTCTGCTGATCTAATGAGGTTTTCCCATAATTTCCTGCAGAATAATTCATGTTTCCTGAAAAGCAAATTCCTTAACAGCTCTCCTGTGAGTACTGTACACATGTTCGTTAAATGAGCTTTCTGGTTCATTTTCAGCTCAAAAGTGAAATAATAGAAACCATGTTTTGTTATTTTCATTCTCATTTCTTAAAGTGAACCTGTGTAGTATAAACGTCTAAGAATAATTGTTATGTAGGGTGTCAATCCCCCAAAAACTGTGCATCCATAGTAATGTGGGACAAAAATGTTGAAAGCAGAAGTAAAAAAATGGACATTTTGCCCGCCATTACACACGTGGTACCAACGGAAACTCAGCTGGCCAATACTGGGGGATAGACTGTTTTTTGATTAATGTGGAAACCTTTTTATTATGAATACTAATGACAACCTGTATAAGCATTGGGGTCTAAGAATGCACAAGCAGCCAGGGTTGAGAGCACTGTATAGGAGAGTTCAGACACTCCTTAGTCAAGTGTCTGCACCTGCATCCAACATCTGAATGGGCTTTGAGCATGGAATGTTCACAATGCTGAAGATATCCTCACCTGCACTGCTCACAGGTGTCCAGAGACTCTAGATCATAGAAAGGATTGTTTTATACTGTACACAATATATCTGCTAGAAACTAGCCAATAACTCATTGCTTACCGTGGTCTTCTGAAGGCCAAGCCGTACTGCTGACATGCCAAGCCCACCGTGGGAGTGTATACAATAGGCATGAACCTCTCGATGTCTGAAGTCAACACGCGATAGAACAGCTTCTCATTCCTGTCTTGTAAAGTCATCAGGATAATGTATCTGATGGAAAACAGAAAGGAAAAATCAGAGCAGAACCACTGAACCGTATATAAACCATGTGCAAAGAAACCACGCGGTCACAAAAAAACAAGGCGTTTTACAGAATCTGTCAAAAAAATCAAATTGAGTTATGTAAACTAAAAAAAGAAAAAAAAAACAACAACAATTGTCAAAATGTCACATATTAAAAAATCTGGAAGTTGCTCAGATAATCAGGACAAGACAAGTCGGACAAAGACCAGTGATGAGCAGGGGCTTGGAGTTTGCCCAAGTCCACACTAAACTGTGACCAACGTACCCCCTTCCCAGCCCAATCCGTTGCCACAGTTTTCTGTGGGCTTGGGCAACACAAAAATCTGTAGCTGGATTCGTTGAAGCATGCCAAAAAATGTTGCCACAGAAAAGGGGTTACCAGGGGTACCCAGGAGGTACAAGCCCCACCCCATCCCACCTTAATTACAAACTCCACAGCACATACAAAACGCTTCCATTCACAGTAACAAAGTCAGGGCTATATTTCTGCATAGCCATTGTGGGCCATGGCCTAGGGTGGCAGGGCTGCTGAGAGGTGGCACACAGCCTCTCATACATCATATTCCTGACTGCCAGCAAAACATTTGCTTGTATAATAAAAAGGTCTGTGTAAAATAAAAAGCACCAGTCTGCAGACCAAACCAGCAGGGTACCCATTGTTACTGCCCCTGCACCACCTGTGCATTTCTGCTGGTGTAATGTTCATTCTGCTCCGATTCGGTACACCTAAAGCTGATCTGCTAGTTTGTCCTTGCTCTTCTAGCTGCTGTTGGGTGTACAGACACCGTGAGGAAAAACTGTCCTTTCAGCCTCTACTACTCAACGTTGGGTACCCCCCACCCACCTCCTTCTCTACTCTGTCCAAAACATACTAACTAGGTATTGGCTATACATACATACATACATACATACATACTCTAACCAACTAAGTTTTGGCTAAGCATACATAAACTAAATGTTGGCTTTTCATACACTTTAAAAACCAACTTAATATCCATACATAAGATGGTTATATACATACATACATACATACATACATACACTTTAAGCCATCTCCCAATGTCAAGCGCTGCTCCCTGTACGGGGTCCTCTTCATTAAGCTCCCCACCCCCAAAAAAAAAGTTATGGCTGTGGTTCCACTTTAAGTGCTTTTTTTCCCCCTTCTTTACAGAACATGATGAAATGAAACATGACTGCTCAGTTAACAGCGCCATACAGAGATCAAATGGAAACTAAACAAACATTTAACATACTTGTCTAGGTCGCTGGACTTGGTTTCATAACTCTTCAAGACACGCAGAACTTGTACATCTTGGCTCAGGAAACATGGAGGAAGGAGGCCGTGAATGCCAAGCTGCAGACGTTCTTCAAGTGTGAATGCCATTCCCTGACAAAACACAGAGACATATTGTTATGGCCACCTGTAACATTATAAAACAAAGCATTCTCTATATTCCAGAAGATTAAAAAAGTACAGCGGGCCAGTCACATGTGTGTTAAAAGTGGTTACTGACATTTACGGCTCATTTACAGCCACCACATGCTTTACTACAGTGCAAGTTAAATGCGTTGGTGCAATTTGGTGCCATTCATTTGCATGGCACCTCTACGCACCTTGCCGACAAAGGTAAGTTGCCGCGCATGCATCATTTTTTTTTTTTTTAGCAGCGCACTGTAATGCACATCTGTCGGTAAGGTGCGTTGGTGTGACAGAATGAATGGCACCGCATTGCACCAATGCATTTACAATAGCTGCATTAATAAATGCATTTAATTATATCTTCAATTAACCCATACCCCATGGGGCTTAACAAACCGATCTGAAAAATCAGGAGCGGTGTATGAATACTTCCATGGTTCTGCATGCTAAGCAAGACTGAAAGAGGGAAAATAAAATCTCCACTCCCATAATACAACAAAAGCTTTCCTTACTTTATTCTACAGTAGTGGTGATCACCTTTTGAGGTTATAAGGTGGCCTCAACTGTGGCCCATATATTACCAAGAGGCCACACATGATATACAATATATGTAATGCTACATAAAACTGTAGACATCCTACAGAAGGTGGCCCATGACTGTAGACATATTGCATGTTATGGCTGGAGACTGTAGACATACTACAGGAGATAACCAGATACTGTGGACATTTTCCATGTTGAGATTGGAGACATACTACATGACATGACCAGGGATTGTGGGCATGTTCCATGCTGTGGTTGGAGACTGCAGACATGCTACAGTAGATGACCAGACACTGTAGATATGTTCCATGTTGTGGTTGGAGACTGCAGACTTATTACAGAAGATGGACAGAGACTGTGGACATGTTCCATGTTGTGGTTGGAGACCGTAGACATGCTGCAGGACAAAGACTAGTGACATGCAACATGAGATGGCCAGAGATCACTGCCATCAGAGCCCGTTTAAAAAAAAACAATGCTTCCCCTCTCACTACTGCTGGCATCCAAGGGAGGTACAAATACCAAGGTCCGCAGGTTGGACACCAGGGCTCTATGTACAACATGTCCAATCAGTGTAAACAAGGATACGGATCTCCTGGACTCTATATTAGCTATTTTCCCGCTGCAACAATAGGAAGTAACTTCGATAAAAGAATATATTTTAGGATAAGAGCAGTATTTCATTTTAATGCCATATTCTACCTTCCATTAGAATGTTTTTTTTTTTTTTTATGGCTACAATGACTCCGTCACTTCGGTCTAGTCTTGGTCAACATCCATTTCACTTTGGTATAATTATTTTGATTTAAAGTTAAGGTTTTCTTAATGGGTACACTGCTCAGTACATGTCACTCTGGTTTAGTCGACTTCAACATCTATTTCACTTGGATATATTATTTTTATGAAAAGGTTACTGCACAAAAATGCACATACGAAAGGAAAGTGCCATTTGCAGTTACATACATGGCTCTTAGTTTTTTTCAGCCAGGCCTGCTAAGCTAATCTTCTAACTAATAACAGCTTTGAACAGGTCTGTAATACCCGATCCATTAGCTGTAAGATTACATGCCTTGTGCTTTTAGTGCAAGTCCTTATACAGCAAAGTGCTATAAAAGGAAGCAAATTAAACTCGGATTGATCAATGAGCAGATCTAATAGTAAGATGTAAACATATGGATCCAGGTCATGGAGCTTCAATGGGAGTTAACATTGTGACCCCTGCCATACCGAATACATTGTCATCAGTGCTTTGAGGATGGCCATACATTGCTCGAGTTTTGGCCCAGTCCTAAATTCCTGCCACTGTCAGTATACAATAGCCCGGTAGGGTGAAATACCCCCCATCCACACTGTTTATTAACGCAAGGGGTTAATAAGAAAAAATGACCAGTTAATGGCCAGTTTTATAGTAAATAACTCAAAATATGTGCTACGAGTATGTCGCCTTAAATCAGTGTTGGACAAATCCCACGAGCCAGGTCGCCAACGCAACTTAAAAATGACAGATGGTGCTTAACTTTTGAGGTTCCCTCTAGATCAGTAGTTCTCCACCTTTCTAGGGCCGGGACCCCTTGGTAACATTTGCCAAGTTGTGGTGACCCCCAACGGTAAAATTTAGGGATGACGCAACTGCTGCTGCGACATCTGGCGGCGCGGTGGGAGAACTGACACTGCTGCGCTAGGAGAGGGCTAAGGAGGACTCTCACCTTATTATTTTTTAATAATTTGTTTCTTATTTCTTTTTAATCGCTTTTTTATTTTTTAAATTTCTTTAATAATTTTTTTATCTATTTTTTTTCCCCACTTAACTTCATTGCTGTCACACAGAGGTAACAAGCCCCTCTGTAATAGGAATTGGAGGGGACAGGTTCTCTTTATTGACCCCGTCACCTCCAATACAGGAGTCCTAGCACAGCACTGTGCTGGAACTTCTGTGACAGGTGAGAGGGGAAGACTGCTATCCCCTCTCACTGTGTACACGGAGCGGCAGGTTTACTTTTAACCCTGTCGAAAAAAAAAATAACTTTCTCCTGGAAAGGTTTAGTCTGTTCGATGAGAGTTTTTTTTTTTCTTTTCTGACTGAAAAAAAAAAAAAAGGAGCAGAGAAAGCGCTTCTCTCCTGGGTGGCCGGAAGCCACTAGGCGACCCCTGGCAAATAGTCATTCGACCCCCGAAGGGGTCCCGACCCCCAGGTTGAGAACCACTGCTCTAGATGTCAATGGAGCTGGCTCCTAACGTCCTGCCTTGCTCCCGGATTGTACAGGCCGGTTCCTGAACTCTATACGAATTTGTCCAACTCTGCCTTTAAATATACACTGATCAGCCGTAACATTATGACCAATCGTCTAATATTGAGTAAGTCTCCCTTTTGCACCAAAACAGCCCTGGCCCATGGAGGCATGGACTCCACTAGACCACTGAAGTTATTCTGTTGTATCTGCCACCAATCCATGAGTAGCAGATCATTTAAGTCCTGTAAGTTGTGAGGTGGGGCCTCCATGAATCGGACTTGTTTTTCCAGCACATCCCATAGATGCTCAATTGGATTAAGATCCGGAAGATTTGGAGGCCAAGTCAACACCTCAAACTCATTGCTGTGTTCCTCAAACCATTCTTCAACCATTTCTGCAGAGTGGTGGGGCGCATTCTTCTGCTGGAAGAGACCACTGCCATCAGGATAAAGTGTTAAATATCGATATAGAAAGTCAGGGAGAATAACCCATTCTTGTTTTCTTTGATGAAGAAAGAAAAATAAAGCAATAAGCATCGGCCGGCAGATTCCCATCGGTGCTCTGGCTCTGCTCCAGAACAGTCGTCTAACAGGGAGAAAACCATAACAAACATCTTGTCATTAGCAGAATTAAAATACATGTTATGGGCCCAATTTCCTTGGAGACCAACATGTTGATGGAATGGAATTTCTATGAGAGTTTAATGGACCTATCGGAGCACAGGACATAGACAGTCTCCCGCAGTTCGCGCTCTCTTTCTACTCTTTCAGACCCCACACTGAGCAGCAATAAATCCCATAAAGCGGCACTCAATCACCTAGATCATTTCTAGTGCCCCACAAATAACGTGCCTTCTCCTTGTGATCTGCCACCACTTTTACATGGTACTGTCTGCAAGCAAGATTATATTTCTTAAACGCTTGGGAGAACTAAATGATGTCACATAGAAAAAAGGACTATACACATTGGGGGGAATTTATCAAAACTTGATGAGCAGACAAAATCTGGAGCAGCTATGCAGATCCTCTCTTCAGTTTGTTCAGTTAAGAATTGAAAATGAAACAGAGGTGCTTATTGGTTGTCATGCACAACTGCTCCAGTTTTTGTCTGCTCTAGTTTTGATAAATCCCCCTTACTGTGTTCAAATGTAATGTAACAGCTTCATGACCGAGGCCTTTTTTTTTCATTTTTTGTTTACATTTATTTTATTTAATAATAATTTTAAAAACGTATGTTTTTAACTTTACTTTAATTGCCGTCACATAGGGGGGCTTACAAGTATGCTCATCCTGATGGCCGGGAAGCCGGCTCCATGCTCCCTTGTCGCCAGGTGATATGGGAGAATGAAGCTGGCTTTCTGGCCAATCAGGATGTGATCCGGCCGGCTTCATGATTGGCCAGCTTCCCGAGCCAATCAGGAAGCTAGACAGCGAGTCATTGCATGCTGCCTGGTTTCCTGATTGGCCAGCTTCCCGACCAATCATGAAGCTAGGCGGCGAGTTGTTACATGCTACATGGCTTCCCGATTGGCTGGGAAGCCGGCTCCAAGCTCCCTAGTCATGACGTGCGGGAGCATGCAGCTGGCTTCCCTGCCAATCAGGAAGCGAGGCAGCGTGTAATGACTCGCTGCCCGACTTCCTGATACCGGAAGCTCAGGTATCAGGCTAGGCATCGTATCATTTGGGCAAGTACGAATTGGGCGAATACCTGGCATCGGCACCAATACTAGTATCGGTGCACCCCAAATACATAGTCATAGCAATCTCTCATTGGTTGCTCTGCAGCCAGGGTACACAGCAGCAGACAGATGCAAACAATGACAGACTGATTGGGGAAACCAGATGAGCATATACTACAAATCAGCACCAGACTGCTTACAATCTGACAATACTAACTTTACCAAGCACTCCCGCTTACAGGGCGAGACAAGCAAGCAACAAATAGTGAAGAAAAAGAAAAAAGAAAAAAGAAGAAAGAAAAAGAAGAAGACTATACAAATAGTGAGAATCTCTTCACAATTAGAGAAAACTACTATATAAAATCGGGTTCAACTGATTTTTTTTAAACTTAAAAGCATCAGAATTCATCACTCAGCTAGTTACACTGCTACGTATAATAATATCCGGACATGGCGGAGAAACAAGAGCGATCTTTTGCCATAAACAGGTGTTACCGTTTTCCTGTCCAAAACCG